TATGACGGCGCCGCCGTCATTATTTTGTAAACTGCGAATGTAATGGGCAAGCAGTGAACAAACAACTGGCCGACGTCACTTCAACCCCACCACCGAGTGATATATAAAGCAGCGCAAGCGCAAGCTCGGGGAGTCGTTCGTCAATCGTTGCCCAGTTCACACGTTACGCAATCGCTGAGTAATTTTATTGTGCACTGTCGAAAGTAAACGTTACTTTAATTACGAAGATTTAATTGTTTTATTACTGCATAAACATACCTCTACCGATATAAATGACGAAGAGGGTTCTCGCTTGACATCGCCCACACCATCCTTCCGACATGTACAATAAAGCATATATAAATAAATAAATAAATATTTTTATTTGCAAAAAATGGAGACTTAAGTTTTTGCTCATATATATGAGTACATTTGCGAAATTCTAGCTATCAAATCTATTATACAATACACCCATATTAATCGCTAGCATTTAGAATTTTCGAAGCCGAAAAGTCCAATTACATTACACAAAATGTGACGAAAATATTCTCTAATTGGTATCCCCAAAAATGATAAGCACCGTGACATTGAGGCACGCATGCCGCGGATTGGACATCCCTGGCCCAAATCGTCCGCACCCTGTACTAATGTTGATTGCTATTACGCAGTTTCTCAAAGTTTTATGTATTACCAAATTAGGTATTGTTTTTTGAGAACTTGTACCTAGTTTCACTAGACATAGTTGTTTTTATTCCAGACACACATGATCATTAGTAATATTATCTTAAATCTGACAAATGATAAATTAAGTTTATTGACTCGGTTTCAATGTTTAAATTTCGCTTAACTGTTCAATCCATAAGTGGTCTCCGGTGACCGCTCTCCACTAACTTAATTATAGGCCTTATTTCCAATGTTTATAGACTACTTTTGTATGAACAAATTTTGGGGACTTTCGGTATGATATATCAACGTATTAACTACTGTAATAATTGAAAAGGTAACACAACACAGATCCAGCAAAAAATATGTTCGTACCTTTTGCTACTTTCAGAAGTTGAATTTTAATGTTAGAAGTGAAGAAAATAATTATATTTAAACGGTTATCGATATTTCAAAACATAAACGACTTCAAAACTTTAACCCTTTTAACCTAAAAGCTATGTACCCTTAAACCCTAGTTTACATTCCTCATTTTGAGAAACACTGTTCAAGCACCATCTGGCTCGCTCTCTTTAATTATTGGCATCTGTTACAAGTATAGTATGTCTGGTTTGTGGCAATTTATTATCAAGCTTAGATCTAAGTAAATAGGGTTCTAATTACCTCTTCAAAATGTAAGCAGGGGTTTTAAAAGCCCTGTTTGAAGTTAGGCAAAATAATTATATCGTTTTGTGTTTCAGGTTTCGCAAACTGAGTTTACGCTGTTAGTATTTATTTTGCCCCAGGTGTAAAGATTATAGTATAACAATTTTTATCGTTATTGGTTTTGGCCCATTTTAGAAGTTTTGTGTTAGAGGCCTACCTCATTATAAGTAAGACTTCGACCTCATTATTGAAAATATATATATTTTTTTTATTTTAATAATTCTGGTGAGGACTCTAAATAGTGAAATTAATAAATTATTTTGAATTACACAGTGTTTCTAATGCTGGCATTAAATTTTTTTTTGTTTCAATGTTCTAAGGTGCCTTCCTGCTTGAAATAATGACTTTGACTTTGGACAACATAAATAGGTTTTTGAAACATTCGGATAACGTTGTGATTGTGTTTTTACGAAATTGCAAATCTTGTAAAACTAAACCATTATTCCCACAGCTTCATCGAACATAACTAAACACATTACATCACGCCTTGTTATCCCCGAAGGGGTAGGTAGAGGTGCACATTACGACACTTAATGCCACTGTACAATGTAACACCCACTTTTCACTATTTTTGTTATGAGTCCCAAGTAATAGGGGGTGAGCCTATTGCCATATACCGGGCACAATTCCAGACTTCCGTGCTACCATTGAGAATTTTTTGAAAACCCAATAATACTTTGCCCGAACCGGGAATCAAACCCGAGGCCCCTTGCCGCAGTCGCACTTGCGACCACTCGACCAACGATGCAGTGTCGCAAACAAAACTAAAAAACTTTATATTAATAAAAAACAAAATACATAGTATACCATTTTTATCTATATCCAAAATATATAATGACCGAAACAACGATAGCCTAGATATTTCCAAATGAGTCCGAACAACTTTTATGAACTTCGGAAGTAACTATTCAATATGTGACTAAGATGTTGAGATACTTTCACAGGGTGTATTAGTTGTCTAGGGTCCGACCTCGAAAGATCTAAATTAGAGTTGCCCTAAATAAATAATAAGGAAAGCGTTTTTATTGGGTTTTATTTTGTTGTTTTTTGCTGGTGTTGTGGTTGTACTTGCGGTAGGAATATGTAGTTTTAGGTTTTAGTAATTTTCAGTACTTTAGTCATTGAAATTTTGCATTCAGAGGGTTGCTTACAACTTTTCATTTAAAGTTTAAGTTCAGGTTAGAGTTATAACTCAAAAAATACATTATTTATTATGTACTAGCGACCCGCCCCGGCTTCGCATGGGTGCAATATGCATGTATTATACATACAAACCTTCCTTAAGAATCACTCTATCTATTAAAAAAAACCGCATCAAAATCCGTTGCGTAGTTTTAAAGATCTAAGCATACATACGGACATACAGCGAAAGCGAGCGAGCTTTGTTTTATACTATGTATTGATTTCGACTTACTCACGTAATTATTCGACGAGGGACTCGAGTAATTTCAAGCCATGCTAGAGGCTTATATTCATGAGCAGAATTCGCGGCGACTAGCGACTGTCGCGCTGCAGCGTAGCGTAATTAATTTCGTATGTCTCACGAAAGTTATAACATAAATAGATACATTATTATTATTTTTTATGGCATAAGCCGGTAAACGAGCAGACGGATCACCTGATGGTAAGCAATCGGCGTCGCCCATAGACAACACCAGAGGCGTTACAAGTGCGTTACCGGCTTTTTGGGGATTAGTACTTTGAGAATCGTTGGGGATTCAGGGATTGGGGAGATAGGGGAGATTGGGGAAGGGGAGGGTAATTGGGCCTCCGGTAACCTCACTCACACGACGAAACACAACGCAAGCGTTGCTTTACGTCGGTTTTCTGTGAGACCGTGGTATCACTCCGGTCGAGCCGGCCCATTCGTGCCGTTTATATATTATTCTAAAATTGGTAATAATTTTACAATAGCGTATGTTAAGGTATGTGTTTAAGTTATATGTGTCGTAATCGCAATGTATGCTCAAGTATTCCAGTCCTGTAAAGTCGAATTCTCTCGAAAAGTGAACAAGTTTCTCTTTAGTTTTAAAATAAAAAGTAGCATTTAACTAAAAATGTCTTTGAGCATTACACTATTAAATAACACCGACATTGTTTCTCAAACACTTTTACAGAGAATATAAGAATAAATAGAATGTAAATGCGTCGGAAATGTCTATTTACATAGTTATGTGTCAAAGTGCCGTTCAAGTTATTTTCTTTGAGAACACGCTGTAGATAAATAACGTTTTGTAGATAAATAACGTGTCTAAAGGTTTTTTTATTTGTATACTAGTTTTGATATTTATATATAAGGCTAGACTGCTATATTTTGTTTTAATAAAAAAATAAATTCTATTTTATAGTGTTTTCTGACTAGACTGCCTCGTTGGCCGAGTGGTCACAAGTGCGATTACCGGGCAAGGGGTCTCGGGTTCGATTCCCGGGTCGGGCAAAGTATTACCGGGTTTTAAAAAAAAATCTCAGTCTGGAATTGTGCCCGGTATATGGCAATAGGCTCACCCCCTATTACATGGGACTCATAACATAAATAGTGAAAAGTGGGTGTTACATTGTACAGTGGTATAGTATAATGTGCACCTCTGCCTGCCCCTTCGGGGATAAAAGGCGTGATGTTATGTTATGTTACGTTCTGAATGTTTAGATGTTCTTAGTGCGTGAATTGATGTAGTGTTTTCCATAAATCCTGGTTCATACTAACCTGTCTACAGAGATGGCAACCAGGTTGAATATGCTAGAGGTGGAACAGATGACGTCGATGGCGATGTAACAGTCACATACCACCGGCGGCAGGCCCCACACTCCGTGGTTGAACTGTGGACAATATCAATGAAATAAATAAGGTGATAACTCGTTAGGCACTGTTTATCATCCAGTTGACTGGATGATTAGATGCTGTGGAACTTATTGCAGATTACATTACATTACCTAAAGTTTGGATGCAATGTGTGAAAGTGATACTCGAGAAAATGTTAGTTTAAAGAAAATTGTAAATGGTTTTTTTTTAAGTTATAAATATTTCGTATAATGTAAAAATAAGTACTATTTTTGGGTTGTGTCTATATGAATGTCAGAGATAAATAAAAGTTCAGAACGCCACTGGTAAATTATATTGTTCACATCAAGACACACGAATTATTATACAAAGTGCAGGTTTAACAAAAGTACTGGCCCGGCACACCGTTATGTGAAGGTCTTTATTCTAATTTAAGGAGGGAATGGCAATATGATACGACGCCCTACGCACACAGCCATGCACATCCATTTACATAGATGTGTACGTAAGTGTCCCTACAACTCTTATTATTCTATGTGACTGCATAATGAAAGTACTGGTTGGGAGACCCACTACTGACATAAAACAACTTTGATGCAGTTAACCTACGACACAAGAGATTGAGTTCTACGAGATAGTAATTAAAATAACGAACATAGAAAAACCAAGTATTAAATTTTTTTTCAAAGTTAAATCGGCATTGAACTTGGAATAGATTTAAAATGTCTAATGTTTTAAGAATAAATGCCCCAAAGGTTTCCAGGACAGTTGTCCAGACAAAGGTTAAGGGAACAAAAGGTAAAGTCTAGCCCCAAACTCTAGATGTTAGTGCTCAAGTAATCTATTATTTGAACTTGTAATTAATTCTATTCAGGTAAATGTCACAAGTTCAAAACGTATGTAACAATACCCTTACATTTGTAGGCACAAATTGAAGGACTCAGGTTTAAACTAATATCTAGAATCTAGACGGATACATTTCGGTGAGTCTGCGGGGGAATTTCACAACTTAATTCCCCCTAGTCCTTTCCATCATCGTAGCACAAGACAATCGGTAAAGCGTCACCGATTCATGGTAGTCGTTGCATCCACATGCACGATGCGTTTCAAATCAAGCTTTCTTGTAAGGCTAAGGAGTGGAATTCTTTGCCAGAGTCTGTATTTCCTGAAGAGTGACCTGGGTGACTTCCAGGCCCGAGTGAATAGGTTGCTTTGGGACGACGTGCTCCATCGGAGACCGTATCATGGCTTACCACCAGGCGAGATAGCAGTCAAACGTCGTTCGGCCCATCAAATATATAAAAAAAGATTTGAAACTGGGGTTTTTTTTTAAGAGGGGAAAATCATCAAATGACTGCTCCCGCCTGGGGAGGCGGGAGGGAGTGTCAGACTCTTACTGACTAAAAACCACCCCGTTCCTTCTCCTGCACGTCGAGCCGGGGCCCCGGTTACCCGTTAGGTTCTCCGCGACGTGTAACTGGGGTTAGACATACATACATATACATAACCTGTTCCCCCCATAGGGTAAGCATAGACTATAGAATGCCAATTGCTACTTACATACTTCTTTCGCTTCATCAACATCAACTAGGGTTAGACTAGACTTATTATGCAAGTACTAGTTTTGCTTATGTAGTACGAAGTAAATAGGTATTGCGGCAAATTCCTAAATTGTATGTTTAATTCTATTGAATGTTTGTTTGCTTTCTTTCCTTCACGTCAATCAGCTAAAGGGATGAAATTTGAAATCTAGGAATTGCTCTGGAGTAGCACATAGGCTACTTTTTAAACTACGAGAACGCGAAGGAAGTCACTGGAAAAAGCTAGTGCATCCATAAAAACATTTTTTTTATTCACGGAAACAGTAACAATGCCCTTGAAACAAGTTCTGTTGACTTAAACACAATAAAGTCGGGTCGCACCATCGACTTAGAAGTAAACTGTTCGTTGTTGAGATTACACGACCTTTTTCCGGATTACAAGAAAATAGTCTCAACTTCTCAAGGTCAAGGTCATTCTGTTTGATAACTCCAGAGGTTATGGTAGAAATAATGGCTTTCTATGATAACCTCGCCGCATTGAGAAGTATCTAATTTTGGACAGGATTAGCGGTTGTTTTAAATTATATTGATGATTCTGTGAATGGCGTGGAGGACTTAGGGGAAGACGGAAGACTAGCTGTGGATGCTGATGATGTATAACATCGATAACGATATTATGATGATCAAGAATTCCTAAAGAGCGTTTTTGCATCGAAACACTTCATTGGATGTGGAAGAGATTATATGTTTTTGTCCGCAATACAAGAAAGTGTGGGAGATGCTTCAGCACGAAAGGGCCGAGACGGCCCTCTTCTTCTTAACATTCTTAGGAAATTAAGTAATATTTCTTAATATTCATTTACACAACATTTCTTTCTAGAAAATGAAGAAATTAATACCATTATTTTATACCTAAGTTTTATACAGACACTTATAGACAACAGGGAAAGCAAAATAAATACAACAACATTAACTTTTTTTAAAAGTATAAAACGTTTTGATTTGAAATTTAATTCGATTTTCAGGGTTGAAGCTGAATTTCAGTGCACGATCGAGTCGGAAGCGGACCCCGGGGTGCTATTGGAAACGTTCATACAATGCATTCAAGTTCGTGATTTTGCAAAAACTGAGTTTTACTTCTACAGTGCCCTTGGTACAAATAAATGGACGGTTTTATGTTTCATACATGTTTTTCAGTACTCACTGACTAGGAAATATTCAATTAATATACATTTTTGATTTTATCTTTTGTTGAAATATGTATGTGTGTTTAGGTTTTTCAATATCACTTCGGAACAAGCTCTAAATATAAATTAAAATGTAAAGTTACATTTCACAGTAATCATTTAACTCGGCTTGAATAAAATTTAAGGAAAAAAATTGCACAAATTTGTACATTCTGTTTTCTTTGAAAATAATTCACAAAACTTCAAGACAGAATATTCAATTATGAACCTTTTTGCTTGATCATTGAAATGAGCACCCCACACTACGACACCACCTAACGGTTCGAAGCAGGAGTTGGACCAAGGCGGTTTTTAGTCAGTAAAAGTCTGACACTCACTCTGGCCTCACCAAACGCAAGAGAAGTCATTTGATGATTTACCACCTCTCAATAAAAAAAAAAGCAATATCATAACTATAATCGTAGTGGCCCGGAGATTTAAGACCCCCGCTTCTCATGCATGAGAGTCCGGGTCGAAACCTACCAACGGTAAGTACTAATGTGAGTTCTTCCCGACATTTTATATACTTTCTAAGATTATCTAAATATCGCTGACAAACGGCTAAGAAAAACATCATTGAGGAAACCTGGACTTTTGATTTCTAATTTAAAGGTTGAAATCGCATTGAGCAAGCGTGTTCATTAATGCTTAAGCCTTCTCCGTGTGATAAGAGGCTTTGCTCAGCAGTGGGCACTTTTAGGCTGTTGATGAATATCATAATACCAATTTAAACTCTACACCTCATACATAAATGAATTTGAAAATAGACAGAAAGATATGACTAACTCATGCTGTAACATTTCCGACGTTAATCTCATTAGGGGGCCCTTTTTGAGGTCTAAATGAGCGCGTAACTGTTACGAAGTTACATACTGCAGGAAACTGATAGTAGCTACTTTATGTGTAGGTATGTATGTATGTGTGTGTATGTGTGCAAGTCTGACCGTCATAAACGGTTTATGAGTAATGAGGTTGTATGTCATGGTGAAGCGAGTTTGTATGATATGCTGTAGGTGGGACTATTTCGCTGGTTGTGTGGTTACTGAGTAAGAGTTTATTGTTTTGATCTCCGGGTCAGGTAAAATGTTACGTGTAAGCACGTTTCATAACTGGAGGAAAGTAAGTGTTTTTTTAATGGCATCAACCGGTAAATGAGCAGACGGATCACCTGATGGTAAGCAATCGGCATCGCCCATGGACTCTTGAAACACTAGAGGCGTTATAAATGCGTTATTGACCTTTTTTTGGGATTACGAATTTGAGGAATGTTGGCGATTCAGGGATTGTGGGGATTGGAGAGCGGGGTTATAGTGACTCCGGTAATCTCACTCACATGACGAAACACAACGCAAGCGTTGTTTCACGTCGGTTTTCTGCTCGGCCGTGGTATCACTCCGGTCGATCCGGCCCATTCGTGCCGAAGCATGGCTCTCCCGCACTTAAAATTACAATATTATATTATTCTATCCGCTAGCTATTACTACTATTATTGCTAGCTCTTTAGAGATTAAATAGCGTGATGTTGTGTTTCTGTTATGTTTTGTAGTGCACTTATTAACTCAGCCTACTTTATTTGTTTATAGATGTGATACATTGTTGTGTAGTTTAAAACAGAATAACAGATGACTTAATAATTAGTCTGTTTCAAGAGTAAAGATAAAAGAAGAGGTGTGAACAGACTAGCTCATTAGCAACTAGACCTGAAACAATAACAACCCACTACACTCTATTCATTCTTTGACTTTGTCATTAAGAGTCTGACACTCCCTTCCCTCTCACCCAGGTGGGAAAGGACATCAGACGATTTTCCTCCCTTAAAAAAACAACCCATTCATAAACACATATGTTTGTTTATATACCTCTACATACCTACTTTTGATTTTATAAGAAATTAGCTGCGTTTACCTAAAATAAAAGTAGTTACTGTTTCTTTTTAGTACATCACCTACCTGCCAATAAAAGTCCCGTCACAATCAGTCCAGCTATTACTGAGATAAGCCAGTACGAACAGACAGGTAGACAAAAATGGTATGTGTATCGTATGTATATTCATATTATTATGCATGTAGTAAAAGCAGTTACTGTAATAATGCAAACATACACTACAATTTTATTTATCTATACAGATTCTCTATTCTAAGAAAAGATCAGACTAAAGGTTATTTTTCCATTTTCTTATTGAAAATTAACGTTATTTTCGTCATGAAGTTGCAAGTTTAGCTATTCAGAAAGGGTTGGGTTCGAAAATATTATTACCGTGAATATGCAACG